TTCTAGAAGGTGTTGCAAATCTTCATAGAATTGGTCAGTTTCAGTCTCTTCAGCATCAGTGGTTGGTGCATAAACTTGGATTGCTGTGATGTTGAAAGGTCTGCCTTGGATTCGTATTGAAATCATTCTATCATTTTTGAGATTGTATCCCAGTACAGCTTTTCCCACTCTTTTGTTGACTATGAGGGCTATTCCATTTCTTCTACGTGATTCTTGTCCACAACAGTAGATATGAGAATCGTCTGAATTGAATTCACCCATTCTCATCCATTTTAGTTCACTGACACTCAGGATGTCAATGTTGATTCTTGCTATCTCCTGCTTGATCTCATCCAGCTTCCCCAGGTTCATAGATCTTACATTCCAGGTTCCTATGCAGTATTTTTCTTTGCAGCATTGGACTTTCCTTTCACTTCCAGGCATGTACGCAGCTGACTGTCCTTTCGGCTTTGGCCCAACCACTTCATAAGCTCTGGAGCTACTTGTACTTATCCTCTGCTCTTCATCACTAGCATGTTGGATGCCTTCCAACGTGAGGGGCTCATCTTCCAGTGTCATATCTTTTAGCCTTTTATTTCTGTCCATGGAGTTTTCTTGGCAAAGATATTGGAGTGGTTTGCCAGTTCCTGCTCCAGGTGGATCGCGTTTAGTCAGAACTCTCCACCATGACCTGTCCGTCTGGGGTGTCTCTGCACGGCCTAGCGATCACTAGCATGTTGGATGCCTTCCAACGTGAGGGGCTCATCTTCCAGTGTCATATCTTTTAGCCTTTTATTTCTGTCCATGGAGTTTTCTTGGCAAAGATATTGGAGTGGTTTGCCAGTTCCTGCTCCAGGTGGATCGCGTTTAGTCAGAACTCTCCACCATGACCTGTCCGTCTGGGGTGTCTCTGCACGGCCTAGCGCATAACTTCATGACCTGTCCGTCTGGGGTGTCTCTGCACAGCCTAGCCCATAACTTCTCTGAATTACTGAAGCCCCTTCGCGACGACAAGGTAGCAATCTGTGAAGGGGATGCCTAAACTACAGTACATCAAATTCCTGGCCAGCTGGATAGGTATAGATTGTCTTGGCTTAATAACAAACTGATGGGCATTTGGCATTCTTTAACATGAAATTTTCCCATTGGTAAAATGATTCAATAATTACAGATCAAACACATTTGTTTTGTAACGTACACATTACTGCACATGGTACATACTACCAAGTTTTGACTACAGTACACACAGAACTGATACCAAGTCAGCAGGACTTACTTTTAATTAGGCATGCAGTGAGTTGCATTGCTGGACTACTTTTATATAAGATTTTACTATTCCATACTGACTTTAAAAAAAAAAACCCTTTCAATGCACAAATAGACAAAAATAAATTCTTGCTCTTTTCTGACTGTTAACTATTCCATACTGACTTTAAAAAAAAAAAAAAACCTTACAATGCACAAATAGACAAAAATAAATTCTCGCTCTTTTCTGACTGTTACCAGGGTTTGTTTCTCTGGTGATACAGAGTCATAAAAATGTTGTGAGTGTTCTTTTGGTTGTTGTAGCCATGAAGGAGGGAAGAATTCACTTCTGATTATTTTTGTTCCTGCAATGCAAACCTCCTTCTATAAAAGAGTAGACGTGGTAGCAGTATTTTCCTTGCTCGATCATAAAATGGATCATTATCTTGCTGAGAAAATGCAGCAGCCACACAGCAAGGGCACTCGGATTCTTCAGGCTTTTAACAGCTTCTCAGTGTTCTAACAGTATTTTATGAGATTTATATCTGTTTGTGTGCTCCAGGAACAACAGTTCCATCTCCTGGCGCAATTCCCTCACACCAAAATTACCAGAACATTCAGCAACAAAACAGCTTTTATTAAAGCCAATGTCAATATTGAATAACTCGCAAAATTAACCTTTCTGGGAATTACGGTTCCCAAACCCTCCAATCAACATGACTACAGGCCAGTGGTTCCCACCCTTGGGTAACCCGGGCATCCTTGGGCTTCAGTTCCTGAAAGTCTTCACCACCAGCTTTGCTGGCCAGGTTTTCTGGGATTGCAATCTAAGAACATCTGAGTTATCCAAGCTTAGGGAACCACTGCTGTAGGCCATGCCATCATATTACACTACAAATGAAAAAATAATCATCTTAGCAGTGTTAAAATATGCGAAATAGGCATTTCATCTATAGGGTTACAATATAGACATAAATGCCCTGAAGATCTGTGATATCATTGATGCAGGTAGTGCCTCTACTGGCGTAGATGGCAAATATTCCATGTCATTGTTGCTGTGGCCACTTTCTCCACCCGGTTACTATCCTTCTAGCAAAGAGCTTCCCCATGCTTAGCTAGTCTCATCCTTTGATGACAGACACACAGTCCACTTCTGGGGCATACTTGAAGCCCTGCCAGCCTAGCAGAACCTGCCAGTGCTTGGACGTCCATTGTCACAGACTTGGAGACAGCAGAGAGACCTCCGTACAGATTATGGTTTAGTGGAGGGAGACTTCTGGTACGCTTTCATGGCATTGAGTTTCAAGATGCCTTTGTTCTGTAAAGTCAGGCTTGGTGGGGGGCAGGGGAAAACATTTTGCCATTTTGAAGCAATGCTAGCATGCTCCGTGTCATCAGAGGTCAGAGGTTGTTGCGTCAGGAACATTATGCCCATGGCACATTAGAAATAGATATGCTAGGTCCATGCTTTGCTAGGCTAATGAGCAGTTTTAGGGGAGGTGGAAGTCATGAAACACTGAGTGTCTAGGAGATTTCGTGAAAAATTAACATATGGATTTTATCCAATGTTTCACTGCAGAAGCATCCAAGAAAAGTGAGTAATGTGTGTGGTTGTGTTGTGTTGTTTCCTGTTCTTCTCTTCCTCTCCCCTCTCTCTTTTCCCCCCTCACCCTAACTTTATGACTTTATCTTTTACAATTATCTTGTACAATTTCAGGCCAATGTAGGCTGGGTCATTGGGAGGGGCAGATTTTGAGCTAGCAACTTTATGGACATTTGTCTTATTGTTAACTCAGAGAGAGCATGTGAAAAGTTCACAACTACAGCAAAAAGGACAAGCAAGGCATGGGGGTTCCAGGGATTGGCAGTGAAGTAGGATGTGGACCTCAACAGCTGGAAAGCCAAACCATAGCACCAAATTGTGGCATGCCAAGAACATGATGAAAAAGTGGTTTTATGAGAACTGGCAAGCAGAAACAAAGGGTGAAAATGTAGGAGTGTGAACTTGAGGTCAAACCAAGTAGACTGTTGTTCAGGCAAAGGGGTAGGCTTGATCTGGAGGTCCCTGTAATGAAGCTAGGAGGAATCACTGGGCTTCTTGAAGAGGTTGGGAGTATGCTGGAAAATGGGAATACAGCTGTAACTATTAATTCTGGCAACTGGGACAAGCAGCACCATCTCTTTTCCATTGCACCAAAAATATAGGTGCAACATTAAAAAAAAATAGACAGTTTATACTTTACACACACACACACACACAGAAAGGGGGGGATGTAAATAGGGCTGGGAGATGTGGTTTATTTTTCTCACATTCACCAGTAGATTCACCTCTAGAGTCTAGCTCTGAATTCTGGCCACTGTCTCTGAGTGGGCATCCGCTGAAAGAGGTGGAACTGGGATGAAGTGGTGATTCATGGCCATCTCTGAACATAACCCTTTTTGCAGCTACCAGAAGCTAAATAAGGCAGGACCTAGTTAGATCTTGGATGGGAGGCCAACAGAGAATACAAGGGATCTGCAGGGACAGCCAGGAAAGAATCTGGCCCAGAACTTTGAAGTGCCACCACCAGTCAAAGTGGACAGCTCTGGACTAGATGGATGAATTATTTCGCTGCATTGTGTTCCACTGCAAGGACTGAGCAGCAATGCATAAAATACCAAACTCTTCTCGTGGAGAATTTGCCTGCCTACCATGCTGTCATAACTAGAAAGGCACAAGGACAGACTGATTATGAAGTAGGTAGAGGTGGGCAGGTCTGGAGCACCATAAGAAGATGAGAAATTAGAATTTTTTAAATAGGTTAATTTTTTTTAAAGGGGGCTATAGACTTTAATCAATAGATTAATCAACTAAATCATTAGTAGGTTAATTCTGAGAGTGTAATTTCCACATGTGGGCTTCTGAATTAAGGCCATTGTTGTTCATTTGCTGAGTAGGAGTAACTCTTATTCTGCTTTGATAGCATAAGGTGAAAGGAAAATCAAAATATTACAAATGGCCTTTCTTTCCAATCATAACTCTTAAAATTAAACAGCATGTTATCTTACAGTCCCTCTCATTTCTGAAAAGGGCACATATATTGCAACTGTGTCATGTATATACTTATATAAATGTAATCAATAAATCAATTAATTGGTCAAAGGCGCATGATTATCTAAAAATTGTGTAATAAATTGACAGTCTGTTGAAAAAGTAACACTGTATATATGCCCTTACAATACGTGCAAACTATAATGTGTTATAATACTGATTGTATAGTGCTAAAGTAACTAATAGATATTTGATACAAGTAAACCACACTAATAATATGTGTTGTTACCGTTATGATACCCGTAGATTTGTCCATGCCAGAGGCATTGAGAAAGACACAAGTGTCTTGTGGGTGGCAAAGAGGCTTACTGTTGGAACTCCTTGCCATAGTTATCAAAATATCACTAGGACAGCTCTGGAAGCTCCACTGAGGAGAAGAATAAAGCATGTGAAACCACCTTTTGTGTTACTGGAGCACAAATAGTCACCTTCACCACTGGCTGTGTTGGCTAGTGCTGACAGGAACTGTACTCCAACGACATCTGAAGGGATACTCCTTCACCTTTAATGATCTAGACTTTCTCTTTCTGTGTGTCTTTCCTATTATTTTGAGTGAGATCATTGGTCAGTCTAGGCCACTTCTGTTTACCCTCATTTCTTTCTTCCAGTCTTACTATTGAGGGGAACATCCTCCACCACTGACATTTCTTTCTCTCTCTCTCTCCCTTTCGTGTTCATGTTCCAGGAGAAGATGATGACGATGATGAATGTGGGGAAGAAAAGCTGCCATCCTGCTTTGACTATGTGATGCACTTTCTGACCGTTTTCTGGAAAGTCCTCTTTGCATTTGTCCCCCCAACGGACTACTGGAGTGGTTGGGCTTGTTTTGTTGTATCCATCTTAATGATCGGCCTTCTGACAGCGTTTATCGGAGACCTGGCCTCCCATTTTGGCTGCACCATTGGCCTGAAGGATTCCGTAACTGCAGTTGTATTTGTTGCTTTGGGAACCTCTGTGCCAGGTAAAAACAAACAGAGTTTCACTCCCTGCCAATGTTTTTTTAATGCCATGACATTGCCATTCTCAGGTGATCCCAGGGGACCTGGCAATCAGCCAATGTTTTCCATCTAACCGCTGTGTTTCTGCAACCTGTAATACAGGTGGACAATTTGGTTAACAATCCTCAACCTTTTTATTGCAAAACATTTATGTTAAAATGCTAGTGGGGCATCCCAGAGTAAGCAGGACATTGATAATGGCAGCCTGAGATTTACACCTTATTCAGGTTACTTCCGAATAGCCTTCATTAAATCTAAAAGTTTATTTCTGGGCACAGGACAGAAACTGTACCTTGACCACCATTGTATTGAGACTTCAGGAGTGACATTTCAGGGTGTGGTTTATTTATTTATTTATTTATTTTTAATTACCCTGATTCAGTTCACTTTGTTGTACTAGGAAATGGCACATTGCCAGAGTCTGTGGTCTTCAGGGTGCTACTTGTACTGGTTCCCCTAGGTTGTAATTTTCCCTGGGTTCTCCACTTAGCAAAAGACATTTGTTGTTGTTATTTAGTCATGTCCGACTCTTCATCACCCCATGGACCAGAGCATGCAATGCCCTCCTGTCTTCCACTGCCTCCCAGAGCAAAAGACATAGGAGAGAGCCAAACTAAACAAGATGCTAAACA